TTAGGATGATAAGATCGTTTCTTGCTACAAACTCACATATAATAGCTCCTCTTCTGTCAAGCGCGTCCTCCCACCATTCCGACGATTTACCATGCGGCCGGCGATGGTGTAACGGTAGCGTAACTGATTGTTGTACATAAGTTGGTGGGTTCAAACCCGATCGAAGCGCCGTAGATTTTTAAGGGCGAAAATCCTTCATACGCCTTCCTCTGGAGGGGAAGTATAAGCCCGCGCTGTCCATGTTCGTAAGATTACTTGCATCCTCGCAAGATCCTCAAGCCTAAATGACGCCTCTGAGCTAAATTCAAATCGCCTGTTTCTCGCCACAACATAATACATTCTTTCTCTGCAGATAAAGGATTGGGTGTAGCGAAATTTAGCGTGGATCAGACGGAAGAGCGGCCTATGGCCCGAGTCGTCGCCACGTAAAATAAGGCAAACTTCAATACATGAAAGACACCTGTTATCAAAAACCTCTCCTTTCGTTGTTTTTTCAGACTTGCCCGTCAATTCCGTCGATGTCTTTTTGAATCTTCCTTCATGTATCGTTCGAGAAAAGTAACAGCTATAAATTCTCAATATTATTCACCCTCAACCCATACAAACCCAATACTTCGTTCTTTTTATTTTATTAATTACATAGCTTCCTATTATGGATTATATACCCGCTCTTACCAGTGGTATCTCGAATACAACATGTTCTCGAGCATAAGGTTGCTCACATATAAGCAATCACATCCACTTCCCTCTCTGCAGCATCACTCCCGCGCCTGCTACTCCTCCAGGTTAATCTCTAGGAGCCGAAGCATACTGTGACATTTTTTGTCTTTTGAACCCTAACAGATGTTGATCCCTTTGTTTTTCTCTTTACATAAGACATCATGTTCTTTGTTGGTACAGTTTCTAACATGTCCGCTTCTAGCAGGTCCTGTAACATTCTTTGCTACGATCAGAACCTCGGCAATCCCGTTGAAATATGTCCAAAGTCTAGACATCTGAAACAATCTTGTTTGTCTGGAGTTTTTCCCTGATCTCTAGCATTTTAACCCATGCCGTCTCATATGTCCTGCCATTATAAGCTTTTGAGCTATCTCTTTCTCCCATCACATTGTGGCTGATTGGTATTCCTCCCGTATCCCTCTTGCGCAACCTACAGGGGTAGGCCATCTGGTCTGGTCTACGTTATAATTTTGCTCACCGCCTCCAACACCTTCCTCAGCGGTGTGTTTCATCAATATCTCTAGTTTCTATTAGCGCTTTCGTTCTAGAGTATTCACATGAGGTTTCCTTCCTTACTCACTTGAAATGGCGTTGGCAAACAAATGCAAATACATGGAAATAATAATATAATAGTCAATTATGAACACTGGTAGCTCAAATCCATGCGAGTCACTTATGGTTGCGAAAGTTCAATAATACTCTCGGAAAAGGACGCAAAGAGGGGGATAACGCTTGGTTCAGGGTTTGGCGGTGATGCAGCGTAACACTAAAGGACGCAAGTGGTAATGGCATCTGTGTGCTTTGCGGTGATAGGGAAGATGGATCCAACATCCTCTTAATTTGCTGGGCAACCGAAACATGGAGAAAAAATGGATGGGAATGGGAATTACTACTTCCTAACAGGAAAAGTAAACGCTCGCCCCAAAAGCATTTAGGTGAACAAAGATCTAAATTTAATGAAGAATTAGGACATGTTTTACGGAAACGGTCCGGACCAATTAGGGAAAACTGAAATAGGGAGTGGGAAAAACAGCACTGGTTTAGCTGAGCGGAGCTAGATCTGGAGAGAAATAATAAGTCAATAAGCTACCCAATTAAGTACGTAATTTTATTGTTAAGTTAGTAAACAGTCAGTAAACAGAGATTTTTATTTTAAAAATTTAAGTTAGAAAAAGTCATAAGTCGTTAGTCATTGGTAAATAACTGGTCAATACAAAATAAATAAATAAAACTGGATAGTAAATAAGCCAAATTAGGGGGGTGAAAGGAAGGGGGGATCGAAGAATGTAAGGGCAAGAGGCGTTGGTGGCGGACGAATCTTCTGTGGCGCCGTTTGATTCAGGTGCTGAGGAGGCAAGCACTGGATGGCACGGCGGGACGCCGCGCCAGAAAATAAAATAGCTAAATAAATGTCGATAGATTTAGAATGTACTCGGCTTCTGACGGCAGGTTTTTCCCCTTCAGGGTTTTTATTCCTGAAGCCGTACCTTGTGGTCTCCTTTCCCGCGCTTTGATCGAATGAGAAGACCATTTGGGGTGAATACCAGAAATTCGAAGAGTAGACGGAAGGAATGTAGGTATTGTAATGGCTTAAAGGCCTTCGCCTAGCCACATAGGATTTCACAGTTAATTAATTTGTTTGTAAATAGATTACCTATTAATACATAAATATAATATGGAAACCACTACAGTATCTACTAGTCGTTTAACTACTACTACACTACTAGTCGTTTTGTGGCTTTTCATCTAGCAGACAAACTGATGATGATGCTAAGCACTCTGAAAGCTGCTATTGATATTAAAAATATTGTTGCAATGGACATCTTTAAATTATTGGTTATAGGATACATATTTTGACACATATTTTACTTAAAGCATTTGCTCATGACATTC